AGCCGCTGTCATCGGAAGCCTGTGTGTTGCCAGATGTTGAGGGGGTTCTTGCCATCATGGACCGCAACATAGTGCACATTGGCTTTAAAGCAGGGCACCCTCATGCATTCTTAACACACTCTGAGGTGTGCATGAGCTCACTTAGAGTGTCTGTAATGAGTCGATTTCGTGTATGAATACGGAAGCCATATGACTACGACTACCATCATGTCAAAATTATGAAAATATTGTACATTATTGGATTTATTTTTTTCCCATTATTGATTGTACATCGTACAGAGGTCAAAATTATTAGTGATGTGACGTTCGAAGCTTCATTTTCGCACACAACCACGTGACTGCTTCGTATTCTGATTCAAATAACGCGAACCACTTTCAGGTGTCACTCACTTTGAAAAGAATAAATCATAAGACAAATAAATATTTGCATGTGTAGTTTTGTGTATGTTCAGACACTTTAATTCTATGATAATCTTCAGTTATTTTGATCATAGCCTATATATGCCTACAGCCTTGCCTATTTTCCGCAAATGTATTCACAGACTCATGTATTCATATTGTGTAATAATAAGGGAGTAAGGGAGCGGATGAGATGTGTGCCTGTGTTACAAATGGAGGTAGCCTCACATTTGCTTCAGCTGCCGTACCATGGGAAGATGGGAACAGGGTGGGGTTGTGACATCCTGAAGAGCCTGTGTAGCCTGCACTGCTAGTGGAGGTAGCCTCACGCTAGCGTCTGCTACGGGAGCTGGAGGCCACTGAAAGGAAAAAAGAAGGGGGTTAGAAGTCACGGGACGGAAATACTGAGATGTGAGGGCATGTGTTGCAAGCAGAAGCAGCTTTGCGCTTGCTTCGGCTGGTATAGCTGTAAGCCACGAGAAAGTGGAAGGGTTAGTGACATTTAGCGGGGCAAGCTGAAATGCCTGGGTAGCCTGCAGTGTTGCACTTAGTTTGTGTTGCAGTAAACTTGTTGCTAGATTTGGCAACTCAAGCCTTGTCCACATTAATATGCATCTTTTCCTCTCGTTTTGGCCTTCCATCCACACTAAAACAAGGAGTCCAGGAAAACAGAGCTTTAAAACCCTTTCCAGAGCAGATACATTTGAAAATACTGTTTTCACGTTGTAGTATGGACTGTGGAAACGGAGGCTTTTGAAAACGATGACGCATGTTTAGTCATGTGACACATTGTACCAGTGTTGCCAGATTGGAAATGTCCAAGTATCGTACCAGAAGCTCAAAATTATCGTATTTGTAAAAAAAGTATCGTACACGAGTCAAACGTACAGAATGCAACTATTTATCTAAACTAACAACTTTTTGACACGACCAGCAAATTACCACAATAGATAACTAGGCGTACCGTGTTTACATTGGACGCGAGCAGTGCGACGAAATACTATAGAAACCATTATAATCAGTAACTGTTTGCACTGGATGCGACATGACACGACATCCCCAACAGTAAACTGATGCCTCGTTGTATTTATGATGTATTAAAATGATTTTTAACAGTAACTTTGTCACATTCAGTGTAGACAGACTTCAGCTGTTAACTCCACATCTGAGCCGCTGTCATCGGAAGCCTGTGTGTTGCCAGATGTTGAGGGGGTTCTTGCCATCATGGACCGCAACAGTGAACGTTGGCTTTGAAGCAGGGCACCCTCATGCATTCTTAACACACTCTGAGGTGTGCATGAGCTCACTTAGAGTGTCTGTAATGAGTCGATTTCGTGTATGAATACGGAAGCCATATGACTACGACTACCATCATGTCAAAATTATGAAAATATTGTACATTATTGGATTTATTTTTTTCCCATTATTGATTGTACATCGTACAGAGGTCAAAATTATTAGTGATGTGACGTTCGAAGCTTCATTTTCGCACACAACCACGTGACTGCTTCGTATTCTGATTCAAATAACGCGAACCACTTTCAGGTGTCACTCACTTTGAAAAGAATAAATCATAAGACAAATAAATATTTGCATGTGTAGTTTTGTGTATGTTCAGACACTTTAATTCTATGATAATCTTCAGTTATTTTGATCATAGCCTATATATGCCTACAGCCTTGCCTATTTTCCGCAAATGTATTCACAGACTCATGTATTCATATTGTGTAATACAATTACTGACATGAAGCCTTATTTATATAGACTTCATATTTTCTTTGCTTTATACAGGTTTTCATAGCACAAACTAATATATTATCTGAAACCGTCCAAAAATGGCTGGGTCGTCTGGGACGCATAGGCAGCTTTTTCCACCTTTTGACCACAAAATGTCGTTAGTGTGCTCCGTCTTGAAAAGCTTCGAGTAATGAACCTTTTTAGATACAGTTGAGGGGAAAGCCTCGGTGCTTCACAAAGCTTAATTTTTCCATCACTAAAAATTATCGTACAAATACGATAATTATCGTACGTCTGGCAACACCGCATTGTACCAGTAGACACGTTTATTATTACTAAATTAGTAAAGCTAATTTTACAGTTATGTGCTATTCACTTTCATACTGTTGCTAAAGATATTTACTTTGCACGCTCTTCATATTACAGACCTAAAAAGACGACAGAAAATTTACTCACTTGATTGCTGTCCTGCGGCAAAACACGAGGGCAGTTGCCTTTTAGATCAATTCTGAGTGAGCGCGCCATTTTGTTCATTTAAATGGGGAGTCATCTCAATTATCACCAGTAAAATATGGAGTGCCACAAGGATCTGTCGTAGGTCCGCTGCTATAATTCTGAGTGAGCGCGCCGTGGGCGTGTCAGTAAATGGTGAAATACAGTATTTCCATAAATTAATTGATCCTGCCAGAAGAATTGCGTGAAATTTATTATGTCTGTTCCGTCTGCATCATCTCAGTGAGGTTTTATACATGCGCAGTAAGGCGAAAGTAACGCTTTCAGACATTTCTGTGTGGATGATAAACTTTGGAAAAAACGTTTGCTTCGTGGTTACAAAATGGCATCAACATCCGTTTATGTCATAACATCGTTTAACAAACTTTAGCCATGAAAACCTGCCTTTAGCGACTTCACCTGATAATTAATTAATATGCAACATGGCCTGCACCGTTCACGGAGGAAGCCTTGAGCTAGCGTCTGCTGAGAGAGCTGGAGGCCCGGCTGCGTACGGCACTGCAGCGGGAAGCAAGTGAGGCTTTGCTGCTGTGAGATCTGGGGCGCGGACGATGGTAGTGTCGAGCGAGGCAAGTCTATTGGCCAGAGCATGTGGCTTGTCGAGAAGAGCAGCGGCCGCGATGAAGCCTGGTGCTCGGCGGCCATGCCTGGCCGGCAAATTGCGGCGGAGGATCTGAAAAATCCCCAGTATAGGTCTTTTCGTTGGACAGGAAATTGGGTCTGTGGTAAAAGGAGCAAACGGAATGCTGAAAGACTAGAGATAATGAAGGTAGGACGTACTTGGTTATTTATAGGAGTTTTCTCTTGCGCTGATTGGATAAATGGTGTAATCCCTAATGATGAACTGGCCGTGTTAATTATCTGTGAGTGCTCCTCCCGAAATTTGTTTATAAACATCACTTAAGAAGCCACAACTAGATCCTAGTGAACTGGCAAATTACAGACCCATTTCAAATCTTCCTTTTATGTCTAAAATTTTATAAAAAGTTGTGTCTGCTCAATTGTGCTCCTTCCTGCAAAGAAATAATCTCTATGAAGAATTTCAGTCAGGTTTCAGGCCCCACCATAGTACAGAAACTGCACTTGTTAAAATTACAAATGACTTGCTTCTTGCGTCAGACCAAGGCTGTGTCTCATTGCTAGTTTTACTTGATCTTAGTGCTGCGTTCGACACTATAGATCATGACTCGTAGATCGATTAGAAAACTATACAGATATTCAAGGGCAGGCTTTAACATGGTTTAGATCCTACCTGTTCGATCGCTACCATTTTGTTCATTTAAATGGGGAGCCGCTCTGTCGCAGTTACACACACCCTGTCGCTGTAAACTGGCCTGTCAATCATCTTGTCACATTTAACATCCTCCACATTTAATTTAATTGAACTTCCTACCATATTGGAGAGAAAAGAAGTAGCACGTTGATCTGCCAGCCATGGGTCTTTATGCGGAGACCTCTGCTCATATTTTTATTAATATTTTGGTTAATATAATTTTTTTTTTACCAGGTTAAATGTTGATTATTAGTAACTCAAACCTCTTTATCTATACCTCTCCGTCGTGCACATCTGCCATGTTTGTAGTGTTTTTTTTTACAAAAAAAAAGTAAGCTTTTTATTCATGTTTGTAGTTCTCAACCAAATCATTCGTCAGAGCGCATTGGATTGTGGGTAATATTAGCCATTAGAGTGTGCACGGATCCACACTTCAAAAATCGACCTGAAATAGTAGACCATCCAGGGACTTCTGGTATACTCTTTTCAGCATACTGTGCTTTGGGACACACGTATTTTAATATCACATACTATTTAGGATGGCAGACAGCAAGTTTGATAGACTATGGCATAAGATGGTAATATTGTTCTCGTTATGACTGAAGGAAGGAACTCATTGATAGTGAATACCTTTTTGGTAACAAACCAGTTTTATCACTAATAACTCAATGACCTTGTTTCTAAAATTTAACACCATGAGGGGAACTGCCAAAAGAAGAAGTGAAACAACAGTAATCCAATAGTTTGTGTTCAGAGCAGATGTGTGTTGAGTCAGTGTGGATGACAATATACCGTTCTGAAGAACATTTCACAACCACTGTTGTGTCAGAGTCTTGTGTTTCCCTAGGTTACTGGTTATGGTTATAGTAAAAAAAAAAAAATTATACAAATGTCTTCTATAGAATAAATAAAATATTTCTTCAATATTTACAAGAGATAAGTGAAGCAGCACGTCTTCATTATGCACTTGCACTGTAACTAAATAGCAACTCTATCAGAATACCCCTCAGTCTGTAGATCAGAGGAAGTGAAGAAACACAGGAGGAGCTGATAGTGTTTAAAGAAAGAGTTGAGAGCATATAATGAAGAGGAAGACTGAGAGAAAGAGAAAATGTCTGATGAGTGTCATCTGTGTCTGCTGGGACTGATCGTTCTCTCTTCACTTCTCACAGGTAAACACACTTCTACATGCTCTTTAAACTCCTGTGAAAGAGTTCAGTGTATATATGCATACAATAAAGTTTCATTTATTAATATGTAGTATAATTATCACTCATATGTTCTTGTGTTTCAGGTTCCAGTGGAGTGGATGATGCTCATGTGTTCATCAGTTCTGGTGAAGATGTCCATCTGCCCTGTAATAATGCTCTTCCTGACTGCAAATCAACTGTATGGGACTATTACAGTTATTCAGCAGCACTTGAACTGATTTATTTGGGGATAAAGAAGAAAGACACAGAGAGACATGAGAGACTGAGTCTGGGGCCTGACTGCTCTCTGAACATCAGGAACATCTCAAAAGAAGATTACGGATCTTACATCTGCAGACAATATGTGAATGGAGAACAACAAGGAACTGATGTTCGTGTTGATCTGCATGTTCTTCATGGTAATTTTATGATTATGTGGTCAATTTAAAAAGGCGAATTTCTTAATTTAAGCTCTCCTGATAATTAAAGAGTCTGTGATTTGTGTGTTATTTTGTGTTTCAGTCTCATCCTCACAGACTGAGATCAGTGCAGGC